GAGATGGGAATGGGAGACAGATTCACCAACTCAAGGGCTGGGGGGCCTTGGCGAGTAATCTGGAGCCATGAAGGACACAACCATGAAGCCTGTTCCCTGTGCCTTGCCACCCCCCAGCACCCCAGCTCACCCACCAGCCTGAGGCCAGATAAATCGGAGGGCCCACAGAGAAGGCCAGGATTTGCCTCTTACCTCACTCTCTGCCTGAGGATCACCACTCTGAGGACCACTGACTGAATGGTCCCGGTAACGGTTGCTCGTTGCCAGGTAAAATGGTTGAGGGAGGGGCACACTACAGATTGACCAATGGCTGAGCAGGACCACTAACGGTCACTCATTGACAGTTGCTTGGGGGAAGGGCCCACTGCAGCACCAACCAATGGCTGAGCAGGACCACCAACGGTCACTCATTGACAGTTGGTTGCTAACGGTCCTGTGGTAACCACTGCCTAGTAAGCGGGTTTCGGGTTAACGGCAGGTGCCCCAAGAGCCACGCTAAGGGCTGCGCATGCCCAGGCTCTTTAGTAGGAGATAGATAGCCCCTGGGCTGCACAGCTGGGGTTTGTCAAGTGGAATAAAATCTTAGCTTACCCAGACACTCCAAAGTCAAAACTAGTGGCAGAAACTGAGCTCTGCTGAAGTAAAGAGATAAGGTGACCACTCCTGAAGTCAAGGAAAACTTCCCTGTCTGCACCTGCACAGAAAGCCTCCTTGGGGGTCAAAAAGTGAGGGGGTACCACCCCATAGTAAGTATGGCCATGGACCCACTTGCAAGGCCTCTGCTATAGACTCCATCTTAGCAAAAAGATGTGCACACAGGTTGGGAAGTGTCCTAGAACAGGTCAGGTGTAAAAAAGAAACAAGGTAATTGGCCAAATATAAACCAAGTCCCAGAAGGACTGTCCTGTATGATTTAAATCATACTATACTCCTCCTCGTTATGGGGGATGCCCATATCCTTTGTCTCTGTGTGTTTCTGCCTTGCTTCAGTCTTAAATAAAACGGTTTCTCTGTGTGCTGTCCCACTTAATGTGTGTGTCTCTAATAATAAACTTTGTACCTGTTTTCACAAGTTTTGCCTCCCTGAAATATTCTTGTTTTCAATGAAGGTAAGAGCCAGGGAAACTTTGCTTTTAGCTTCTAGCCCCTGGTGGTCTAGCAGCTAGGATTCCTGCTTTTCATTCAGGTTGTGCATGCATGTGTGCTAAGTTGTGTTTCAGTCGTGTCTGACTCTTTGTGACCCTATGGACTACAGCCCGCCAGACTCCTCCGTCCATGCAATCCTCCAGGTGAGAATACTGGAGGGGGTTGCCATGCCCTCCTCCAGGGGATCTTCCTGACCTAGGAATCAAACCCACGTCTCTTACTCGCTTCCTGCATTGGCAGGCGGGTTATCACTGGCACCACCTGGGAAGCCCTTAATCCAAGCTACCCAGATTCAATTCCTGAGCTGGAAACGAGGATCTTTCTTCAGGACTGCTCACTGCTGAGATCAGAAGCATGTGCCAAGATGGAGCATCAGTCATCCTAGGTGCCTGAGTAACTAGATGAGCACAGCCCCTTGGCTAACCTACTACAGACCTAATATGAACAAGAGATAGGTGGTGGTGGTGGTTGAAGTTACTGAGATTTGGGCATCAGTTTGTTACTAACATAGCATAGCCAAACAATCCTGACCAGATAGGAGGAGGCACTCCCCTGGAGTCTGCTTATCTGTCCAAAGCCCAGATCTTTTTGACCTCTACAGTGGTTATTTGTAGTTGCCTTTCCAGGGTCCATTTCCCTGTCCCTTAGCTTCCGACAGTGCTTTCCACATGGTTCCAGTAAGCTAACTCTGTTCCAAACTCCAGAGGAAATGCAAACTAGGCTAAACCAATCAGAATATTCCATTTCCCTGACTGTATGGATTGGGTCAGTAGTAGACTTGTGTCCTTAACTGGTCCAGTCAAAGTGAATCTTAGGGTTCTTGCTGGAAATGCACATACTTACCACTACTACAACAAGTTTCACATTTCTTTATCATTAGTTATATGCAATCTTACTAAGCAGATTATGTATTATTGAGAACCAGGATCCTAATTTATCTCTTTATTGCCAGAACCTGGCATAATTGTTGGCACAAAATAGATGCCTATAAATAATCATTGATCAATTAAAAGGGGAATAGAATTTACTCCTTTTCTTCAAATTTCACTTCTCAATTTCAGGGCCACCTATCCATCTACAGAGCCACATTCAGCTGTTTGCATCTCTGTCCTTTCCTTTCCTCCATCCTCATTGAAGAATAAATTATATGCCCAACGTTGGTCTTTCAAAAAAACTACGGGTAAAATTTGCTTTTTCATTTTCCTGGGATGTATATGGCATTTACATGAATACTTAGGGCAAATCTCTTCTGGGCTCCCTTCTACTATACAGCGTCAGCACCAAAACCTCCACAGTGACTGAAGTAACTGCCTCTTTGTAACGGCAGCACATCAGCCATGTGCTACTGGAGAAGTCTCAGTTCCAGGACCAAATCATAGGTCCTTATTAAATGGGTCCTTACAATGTCCAGAAATAATACCAAATACCAAATAACCTGAAGAAATATAAATATTTTAACCTTTTCTATTCTCCTCAAGTCACCAATCTCCCTTTTCTACCTCCCCTGGAACCTCCAAACTCATCATTCATAACTTAGCCTCCTCTTCTAGAGAAAACAGAAGTCATCACATGAGAGATCTCTCATTGCCCTAAAATCAAACATCTACCACTATCCTAGCATCCTCACCTCCAGCTGAGATAGAGGAATTGTTCCTTTTCCCCTTGTCCCACATCCTATCTCTCCCTTATTAAAAAAAAAAAAAAAAAAAAACTTATACCATCACTCAATCCTTTTCAGTCTTGTATATCAATCTACTTTTTCATGAATCCTTCTCATTAGTTTTTAAATGCACTGAGATCTTCTTTTTAAAAAAAAAAGCTTCACTTATTCCTTGTTAACTACCACCTGTATTTTTCCTTCCGCTCCCATCTTATCTTCTCATTATCTCCAAAAGATAGGAAAAGTAGTGAGGTACAGTGGTTAAGAACATGGATCCTGGCACCACACTACCTGCTTTGAAATACATCATTTAATGTCTCTGAGACCATGGGCAGATTACTCCACTTCTCTCTGCCTGAATTTCCCCATAGACAAAAAGATTATAACACTGACATTAGTGCTTAGCACAGAGTAAGGTTGGCTGTAATCACTTTTGTTTTTATTTCTTTACTTTCACTCACATCTCAGCCCATCCTGACCCCATCACTTCACGTGTTTACTAAGAAACCAATGACCTCTATGTTGCTAAATCGAACAACTACTTTTCAGTTACCATCTTGAAGTTCAGGCAGCAGCTGACAATGTTAACACCTTCTTCTTGTAACATACTCTTCACTAGTCCAGGGGCATCAATTACCACGTACCTGGCAGTGTCTTCTTCACCTTTATCTGCCCACCTTTTTCTAGACCCCACAAATCTAGAGGTTTCCTGGACATTCTTCCCTTAAATATCTCAAAGGCATTTTATACGCACTACGTCCAAAACTGATCCATGACCTTTCTCTCCCTAACCCCCTTCTTTGAATATTCTTTTGTCTCTTCACCTGGCTAACTCCTACTCCTTCCTTAGATTTCAGCTGAAGTATCAGTTTCTCAGAGAAGCCTGAGGTGAATGCCTTCAAAGAAAATTTTAGCACCTGGTACCTCTACTTCACACCTTCAGTGAGACGGTAAGTTATACGAGGGTTGGGACTATGTGTCCTCTCACTATCCTATCCCAGGACAAGAATGCAGTAACCTCCACAACCCGTTCAGTCGTGCTAGCGTCTAACCGCACTCTTGAACAAAAGTATAAACTGTGCCACTTTGTGCCAGGTTAAGATTACTAGAATAATTAAAACATGGCAGGGTGCAAAGAAGTCTAGCAGAGGAAATAGTATTTTACCAAGCCCCTAAATAAGCTTCAATTGCAATAAGATGTTCGTGGATGACAAAAAAAAAAAAAGCTTAAATCGGGGAGATTCATTCATTAGACAACCAACACCATACATTGTCTTTAAAAATGCAATCAGACCAATTGTGTGGCAATTGGTGCAATTCTGTGGAAGGTTTTGCCATTAGGCTTCCCTGGTAGCTCAGAGGGTAAAGCGGCTGCCTATGATGCGGGAGACCCGGGTTCTATCCCTGGGTCGGGAAGATCCTCTGGAGAAGGAAATGGCAACCCATTCCAGTACTCTTGCCCGGAAAATCCCATGGACGGAGGAGCCTGGTAGTCTACAGTCCATGGGGTCGCAGAGAGTCGGACACGACTGAGCAACTTCACTTACACTTCACACATGACTTGGACACCAGTATTCAATCCTACCTCAACAAGCCACCTACCTATAACCCAGCACTCCTGTGTCCCAGTACACGGCAGCTTTTTCCGAAATCTGCCATGAGTCCAGGCAGCTACACTGCCGCTGGGGAGTACTGACGGAGAAGTTCAAGGAAGGAAAAGTTCTGAGCGTGTGTGGATGTTTCAGCAAACAGTCTGCTCTCAGGGCGAGGAGGAGTAAATAGGGCTGAAAAGGGAACACAGTAGACTTCGCAGGTGGGATATGGCTGAAAAATGAATGAGTGGGAGAGCGTGCCAACTGGCATGCCCGGAACCTTTCCCCTCAGAGTCGATCTCGCGAAACTGTAACTAATTCCCGGGGAATTCCGGGGGATTTCCTCTAACTCCAGGCAAAGTCCCGTAGGGCGGGGCAAGAAAAGGAGACGCCGGCGCGCGGCCTTCAGCCTCCGGGATCTCGAGAGAACTGCAGTTATCGCGATCTTTCCGGAGCCGACACTCCACGCGGAGTCCGAGCTCGTGTGCTGTGACCGGAGTGCAGGGAGGGCGGAGACTGTGCGGGAGGGAGAAGCCCCTTTGGCCTGCCCTACGGAAGCCTGCGAGGGAGGGTGGTGATCGCTGCCCCGTCCAGTTGTCCAGATGCCCAGCGCCAACGCCAGCCGCAGGAGTCAGGAGAAGCCGCGGGAGATCATGGACGCGGCGGAAGTGGGTTTCCTCCTTCTCCGGGCCTTGGAAGAACAGAGCCTTGGGCCGGATCGCGCTGGGGGACGGGGGGACCGGGGGTAGGGGGAGCGGGGGCCCTGGCCTCTGGATCCCTGGCGGCACTTTGCCTGCAGGCCGCGGGCCTGGGGTCCGGGCGCCCGGAGCCTTCAACCGGACCTCCAGGGCCCTTGCCCGAGCACCTTAGCCAGACTCACTCCGGATCGCATTTCTCACTGGGGCGCCTGGAGGCATGGCTTACGAGAAGCGTTTCTCTGAGATGGAGGGCGGGGGAGGGGGGCGCGGAAGGCGTGTAGCACCCACTGCCCCGGAAGTAGGAGCGGCTGGGTCAATCTTAAACCTCGCTGGTTTAGGCACGTACTTCACGTATTCCTTCTCTTCCCCGGAAATTTTTAATGTCCACTGATAATCGATTTTTGCTCAGCACTCGTGTACCTTATGTTTTTCAAGTAATGACAGTACTTCGTAAAGCGATCTGCCACTATAATGACCGTTTTCCATGTGACAACTTTAGGGAAAAGCTGTCATTTTTATTTCCTTTCTTCTCTTAAGTAACCCAAGTGAGGTAGGTGGGGAAGTTTGTAGAGAATGCGTTTGAGATGAAGTGACCACAGATTATCTATGTAATTCATAATACCCCGTAGTCCATCAGTGCTTTTCAGAAATGAATGTTTGAAACCGTTCTACCAGTGATGTGTGCTCTTAATGAAATTGAGATTTCTACCTGGCTGCTAATTTTTCTATTGAGGAGATATGAATTTGTGATAATCTGCATAAGGAATAGGTCATTTTAAAAACATTAGATGGAATAGGGTTACTGAAATATGAACAGTACTAATAAGTTACCCCCTTTTTTCTTTTCACATGCTGTAACCTTTTTATGCTGCCCTCCTACTACATTTTCTTTAAGGTGAATTTTTTTTTTAATTCGGAAAAAAAATTGTTCAGTAAGCACCTTAACATGTTTGGTTTGTTTTGGTGTAAATGCAAAATCTGATAGCTTCCAAATCTAAAGGAGAGGATTCCAACAAAGTGACAGGAATGAATTGTTTATTCACATCCTAAATTACCTTGAAGGAAACCATTTTTGTGTATTCTTGATCTGATTAAGTATGTAAACTAGCAGTGTGCCTTTGCAAGTAGTGTGGGTCTATAGATTATATAAGGTAGACATTGGGGCAGAGTTTTGTCACTATAGCTGGAAGGATCTTAAGAGATCATTTTAAAGTGAGATTAAAATAAAAGGCCGCTTACCAATTTAATAAGTATAGTTTGTTAATAATAGTCTAGACTCTAGGCCTCTTTTTTCCTGTTCCTGGCTTAAAATCTGTAATAGGAATTTTGGTGTCATATTGTCAGTGTCGAAGCACTTGCAACCTGATATCATGAAGAGGTTTTAGAACAGGAAGCTGGCAAATTTTTTGATGGTATTTTACAAAAGGAAAGTTGTAGTTAGCTTTTATCCAACATCTCTGATTTCTAAAAACTGGACATCTGGTGCTCAGAAAATTTATCCGTAACTGTTGGTTCTCTTTGAACATCTCTTCCTGTAATAGGAAGTTAATAAAACTGTGGTATCTCATCCTTCTCCCTTCAAAAAGAGGAAATTTATAACCCTGCTTTGAAGTAGTTTAATCTCCTTTTTGAAGAAAGTAGTTAAGATGTGTTGTACATGTGTGTAAATTTTATTTGAGAATGCTGTTCTGTATGGTATATCAATCCAGGAGTGGTGATCTTCAAAATAAATTATCCAGAAGCTGGGTACTTATCCTTTTTCTATGGAGTGCATATATAAATGATATGACATATTTCTACAGTTTAAAACTACTAGTTTGAATTAATAAAATAGTCCTGAAAGTTAAAATGAATTCATCTTTTTCTGTTGTGTTTCTTTGTTTATTAATACTATGCTGTCAGTGTTTAAATAAAAAGTCATAATGTAAAAACTTTTTTTGTAGGATTATGCAAAAGAAAGATACGGAGTATCTTCAATGATACAATCACAAGAAAAACCAGGTTAGTAGTTACGTGATAATTTAAAAAGGCTTTTTTTACTTTCTAATTCCAGGAAAGCTCTTCATAAAGTTTTAAGTAAGGCTGACATAACTGAAAACATAACTCTGAAGGCATAATTCTGAAAAACTTAAATGGCAAACTTATGCCATTGTTGTTATTGTTTAGTTGCTAAGTCGCATCTGACACTTTGTGACCCCAGGGACTGTAGCCAGCCAGGCTCCTCTGTCCATGGGATTTCCCAGGCAAGAATGGAGTGGGTTACCATTTCCTTCTCCAGGGGATCTTCCCAACCCAGGGATGGAACACACATTTCCCGCTTGGCAGGCAGATTCTTTACTACTGAGCCACCTTGAAAGTCCAAGCATATGCCATAACCCTGTGCAAACTATCAATTTAGGGTCCGTAATCTAGAAAAGGAAGAAAATACATTAAATTAGTATATTTTAAGCTGTAAATTATATTAGAAAGATATTCCTAAGTGATCATGTAAAAAGACTTGACCTGGCCTAGGAGATAAAAGATAGTTAATAGTAGCTTCTTTCTTCATATGCAGCCTTTTTTGCATGCCTCATGAAGCTACTACCTCTTTTAGTACCCTCCTTGACTTATATAAATATTTCTTTGAAAATGATTTAATTGTTTCTCTCAGACCTGTAAGTTTTCTATTTGTAAACATTTGTCTTCCTTTTGTTTCTTTTTTGTGTCTATTTTTGTTTGTTTCTCTTTTTTTTTCCTAGTTTATCTATGCACTTTCAACAAGTTTATCCTACTCAACTATTTAACAATCATTTTTCTTCCGGTAGACACCCCAAATTATGTCTTTCAAGCTTTGGTATACCTGCAGACCTTTAGGCTCTGGCCCATTGGAAGCACCAAGTACTTCTAATATATATGCCTGCCTGTGAATTTTATGCTTTGAAAATAATATACCCCAGGTCAGTTTTAATTGTTATTTTAGACTTAACTTACTGCATGGTCACAACATCACTTTTCCTCCCCAGCTTTGTTGGGAAAATGTGTAATGAAAGACTAAAATAGGTTGCTGAGAATAAACCATTTCCAAAAGATAAAGCTGGTGAAGTAAAATAATTGAATATACAATGGCATAGGAGCAATATGCTATAGGAGAGGACTACTACCCCTTCCAGGACAAGCAGAAGAGGTCACGTGAGACTTTTTCTCAGCTTATCTGTCTTCCTGAACTGCACTTCGTTGAGTTCTAACATCAAAAATCTCACTGGAGTTTGACTCTTACATAAGCCTCAGTCACCCTTTTCCACAATTATTGTTCCCATTTAGCTATCAAATCCAGACTACTGTTATAATAGTAACTATGACAGTTATTAGCTTTCCCTACCAAAAGAAAGGTTAAACTACCTATGTAATCTGATTACACTAAATAACAGCAAAATTCTACCCTTGGTTTTACCTCAGTTAAAATCAGAAAATTTTGTTCAACACAAAGTTATCTGTTTGCTTCCATTTCTCCAAAATTCTTTTATTCTAATATGAGTGACTTAACTGTGGAGGAGGTAGTAGGTTTTCAAATTGAAACCCTACTGCCACTAATCTTTGCCTTAGCCACTCATATCGGTGGGAGTGTGACATGCACCTCAGCCGGGTGTGGATACATTAAAGGTTAAGAACTCCTATGCTAATTCATTGGAATGACACATGAAAGAAGGGCCATTATTCTTTCTTTTCCAAAGTACTATTAAAATTACTGTAATCATGATGCTTGCTCATAAGTCTATTCTTTTAGACTTATTGTTTTGTTTTGAATTTTGATTGTCTAGTAAGTTGTTTGCTCTTTCAATCTTGGCATTTTCAGATCTGTCTTTTAAAATATTATGTTACTATGTCTGTCTTTTCTTTTTCACCCTTTCTTTTGTCTGAGTTTACACAGCAGACTTGGAAGTTAGCTTAACTTCTAAGGTCCACGTACAGAGTTTTACAGAAAGCCTCTTGTGATGAGTAGTGCTTGAAAATTTCACATTCATTCTCTTTGCTTTTGGCAATGAGAACCATGGATTCTCCTGTAAACCAGATTCTCTCTAAGCTGCATGTTTACTTCAAGAGATAAATTATAAATACATGTAGGCAAAGTAGGTGAAATATATTTATAATTTGATTTTTATTATAATATCCCCCACAAAAGTATATTTAGTATTAGGGTAACTAGGTTTTACCAGCATGTGATGTTGACAGATTTGGTTACAGTCAAGCCACATAACCATTGAGACTTGAGATTTTTTTATTATTCATTATGTTGTGGTATCATTCTATTAGAATATTTTTAATTAATGCTTACATCTTTTTCTTTAATACTGAAATTATTGCATATTTAGAACAATATCAAAATAATTTCTGGGTCGTGATTGCCTTGTATCACTATCTTCACACCATAGTTTTTTCACAGTTTTCCTGTTTGGGAGACTCTAGTACTTTGCTGTTAGTATCGGGGGCCATAATTGTTGGGGCTCACTTATAGTCAAAAGGGGAATTTATTGATTCATGTAACAGTAGGAAACAAAGCATAAGATGGCATATGCCATGGTAGGATTTAGAAGTTTGAACATTATTGATGGGGCTTTCAGTCTCTGCTTCCTGGCTCTGCTTCCACTAGGCTATTGACCTCGTTCTCCCATCCTGCAAATTCAGATAGTAAGAAAGATGGTGGCTGCAGCCCTGGGTCAATACTATCTCAGCTCAGTGACCTGGAGGAAGACAGCTTCATTCCCATTATCTGTATATTACATACCAGAAAAGGACTTTGATTGGCCTAGTTGAATACAGTCACTATATCCTGGGGAATGGGGTGCTATGACTGTCCAGGCCTGGCAGAGAGTCCCCTCATGTAGCTAGCTGACTTACATACTATGACAGGCAAGCAAAAATACCATGTCCACTCAGGCAGAGGCAGGTGAAGATAGGCTGTGTTTGGCTTTATAAGTCATTGAAATGTTCAGGAGATTTGCACTTTGAAATTATATTGACTCCACTGTAGATTGAATTATCAAGGGATTGCCAGTTAGAATGCTTTTGCTCTCATTTAGGCAAGATATAATATAGTACGTTGGTTTAGAATGTTGGCAGTGAAAATGAAAGAGAATTGGATAGGTTTTAGAGGTATTTAGGTATTTAGGATATTCAATTCATACAACTTGAGGCAAATTGCATACAGAAGGTGATAGAGAAGGTGTTAACCCTCATACAGCGTGAGTAGGAATGTAAATTGGTTATAGCCACTATGGAGAACACTACAGGGGTTCCTCAAAAAATTAAGACTAGAACTTCCATATAATACAGCAGTTCCACTTCTGGGTATTTATCTGAAGAATATGAAAGTACTAATCAAAATATATGTGCAAAATATATGTACTAATATATGTACTGATCAAAATATATGTGCAAAATATATGTACTAGTCAAAATATATGTGCAAAACATATGTACTAATATATGTACTAATCAAAATATATGTACAAAATATATGTCCACCCTTATGTTACTGCAGCATTTTTTCCAGTAGCCAAAATGTGAAAACACCCTAAGTGCCTGTCGATAGATAAATAAAGAAGACGTAGTATATATGTGTGCCATTAAAAAAGATGAAATCTTGCTTTTTGCAACAACATGGATGGAATACAAAAATTAACAAATGAGCAAACCAAACAGCAAAACATAGAGCAGAGTAGTGGTTACTAGAGGGGAATGAGCATGAGGGGAGGATGAAATGGGTAACAGGGTCAAATCTGTGGTAATGTTTGGAAACTAAACTTTTGGTATTGAGCATGCTGTTAAGTATATAGAAGCTGAAATACAATGTTATACGTATGAAGCATATGATGTTATAAACCAGTAAAAAGAAAAGCAAAAGAAAAAAGTGTTCCTAGAGATGAGAATCATTTAAGATAATATCAAGTATTTACATTAGCTATCAAACAAAGTAATTTTGATCTTGATCTCTCTGTAAATTCTAAATTACAAAATTGTTTCACTTTTTTGCTGCAGATCGAGTTTTGGTTCGAATTAGTGATTTGACAGTACAAAAAGCTGGTGAAGTTGTTTGGGTACGTGCAAGGGTTCATACAAGCAGAGCTAAAGGTAAGATCGATTAGATGGTTACAGGTCTTTTGGTAATCACTGAGTTTTTCTTTTGCAGATTTCTCATAAGGCAAAGCAGATCTTTAAAAACAAAACAGAAACACCTGTTTTCCTTCTTAAATCAATGTAAAATATTAGTACATGGTTAATTTTAGGTTCTTATAATATATTCTTAATTTGGCCTTTCCATCATCAAAAAGTCTGCAAACAATAAATGCTGGAGAGGGTATGGAGAAAAGGGAACCCTTTTGCACTGTTGGTGGGAATATAAATTGATACAGCCACTATGGAAGATGGTATGGAAATTTCCTTAAAAAACTAGGATTAAAGCCACCATATGACCCAGCAGTCGCACTCCTAGGTATATACCCTGAGGAAACCAAAATTGAAAAAGACACATGCACCCCATTGTTCATTGCAGCACTATTTATAATAGCTAGAACATGGAAGCAACCTAGATGTCCATGAACAAATAAATGAATAAAGAAGTTGTGGTACATCTACAAACTGGAATATTACTCAGCCATAAAAAGGAACACATTTGAGTCACTTCTAATGAGGTGGATGAATCTAGAGACTATTACACAGGGTGAAGTCAGAAAGAAAGATAAATATCATATACTAATGGATATATATGGAATCTAGAAAGATGGTACTGATGAATTTATTTACAAGGCAGCAGTGGAGACAGAGAGAATAGACTTAATGGACATGGGGAGAGGGGAGGAGAGGGTGAGATGTAAGGAGAGAATAAAATGAAAACTTATATTACCATATGCAAAATAGATAGCCAGTGGGAATTTGCTGTATGTATCAGGGAATTCAAACAGGGTCTCTGTATCAACCTAGAGGGGTGGGATGGGGAGGGAGGGTCAAGAGGGAGGGGACGTATGTACACCTACCGCTGATTCATGTTGATGTTTGACAGGAAACAAAGTTCTATAAAGCAATTATCCTTCAATTAAAAAATAGTAATAATAATAATTTGGCCTTAAAACTCAGATGACATATAAAACTTTAAGGTACTTTTCTAGAACCTCTCAAAAGTTTGATTTTTTGAAGTAAAGAGTTTTTGAGAAGTTTTTCTTTGTTAATATGAAAATATTCTAGCATTTGTAATATTTAGATAAGGAGAGAGGTAGAAGAGAGATACAGCTAGACTGATTTGTCAAGTAGCCACTGGCTACATTTAGCTATTAAAATTAAAATTCTATAGCTCAGACATCAGCTGTATTTGGGGTGCTTAATAGCCAGAGTGGCTAGTGGCTTCCTTATTGAACAGACAAGACAAATATAAAATACCTTTATCATTGTAGAAACTTCTGTTAGACAGTGCTAAGAATTTAGCGTTAACAACAGAAAAGAAATACTAGGGGAATTTAGACAAACTTCAATTTCTTATGGAAACTAGTGTTCCAAATTGCCTGAAAGCATTAGTGACTCTCCTTAGTTTATAACTTTATACTTTTGGACACTTTTTCACCCTTGGTCATCCCCACAAACTTGTGAAATAGGCAGAATAGACATTGCTATTCCTTATAAGTGAGGAGAGTAAGGCTCAAAATGATAAAGCTACTTGCCCTAATTCTCAAAGTAACTGGTGGGATATGAACAGAATTCAGAAACTTTTTAGGACACCTTCTGTTGCCCTAGAGTTAATTTCTTCTATACTATTTAATACATTCTGTGTTACAACACTTCTTTTTATTTTAAAATATTTATTATCAAATTAATATAGGCCTATTATTTTAAAAATTCCAACATTTTATACATATATATCTTAACAATCTCAGAATCACTTCTATTAAGAATTTGTCTATTCTTTCAGTATCCTCCCCCACATAGATGGCTACTACTTGACTTTGAGAAAAATACTGGTAGAATTTTAATTTTTTAAAGAAATTTTGATTTGCCTTCATGAAAGATTGGGCCATTTATTCTACCAGCAGGTAATCACATTGTATTGTAATCCTTCACTTACTTGTCTTTCTAAGGAACCTTTGTTCTGTCCAAATTGGCACCTTGTTTCCTAAACACTGTTATTTAGCAAATTAAAAGATAAGAGTGCATGCTACCTGTAATCCTGAACCAACAGTATTTCCCTTCACACTCATCCAAAAAATTGAACAGTTTTAATATGAGAAAGGACAACTACAGTGAATTGAAACACATCAGATATGTTTAAATCCATAAGTTTATAATAAAGCTAAGGCAAACAAACAGAAAACCTAGTTGGTCATAAATAGAACAAGCTCATTATTTTCAAATCTGGTAAATACTGAAAGTGTCATTTCTGTATGAATATATATATCACTGACTAACCAAATAGTAGATAATGGGAAGGTGTCCCTTTAGAGAAGTATCTAGCTAATAAAATGAAGAATATTAGAACTTTGTTATTTTGCTCCCCAGTGAATATCTAGGTATTGATCATCTGTGATTGCTAACAATATATAATAGAGAGACAACCAGAAATATTTTATGTCTGTTTATGAAAGAATACAACACCACCCAATGAAGTAGTCTTACCCAAAAAGTTATGCCCACATCTCGTTAAGCCTTTAGATCTAACTACCAACTTACAGGAAAGTTGTAGGACAAAGGAACATGTTAAACGACAATGCGGATACAGGCAGCAAAATCTAGACTGTAGTAAACTACCGGGCGAAAAAGGCCTGATCTCTTCAAGAAATAAATTGAGCCAGGAGGAGGAGTCTATGGATTAAAACAGATATATCTCTCAACTAATCACTTATTTAGATCCTAATTTAAATATGTAGTTGAAAAGGCACTGAGACTGTTGAATATTTGAACATTGACTAGATATTTGGTGTTAAAAAAAATTGTTCAATTTTTTTCAAGTTGAGATAATACTGTCATTATTTTTTAAAAGATATCTCTTATGGATCCATACCAAATTATATATGGATGAAATAATAGAGAGTTTGCAGGAGTTTGCTTCAAAATAGTACAGAAATTGAGGGATAAGGCTGAAACAAATGGCCATGAATTGATAATTTTGAGTTACATGAGGATTTTAGGTAGGCATTGATATCATTTACAAATAATCATTTTGTCCTTTTCTTTCAAATGTTTATCTCATTTCTTGTTTCTCTCTGCAGTAATTAGTAGATTCCCCAGTTTTGCAAGGATTCTCACAATGAAGAATTTTTCAAACAGTAGAGGTATAAAGAGTTATTTCATGTCTTTAGGTGTTCTGCATACAGTGTTACTAGGAAACAGTACCAAAGTTTAAAAAGTAGGTTAGAAGAAGTTTTCATCTAGTCCAAGTTTTCTGTTATCAGGAATAGGTGTTAAATTTTATCATTCCTTTTCCAGAAAATTTTTTCCCTCAAAGTAGCATTGTGTTGAGCATATTTATATAGAGATTCATTATACTCCCCTGTTTATTTTTTTGTTCGTTGGAAATAATCCGTTGATCTTCATTATTCACAGATTGTGTATTTGCAAATTCACCTACTATAACATGTATTAGTAACCCCAAAATCAACACTTGGAGTGCTTTCACTGTCATTCACAGACGTACCAGATATTCACATGAGCAGTGGTGAGAAATTTGAGTCTCCTAATATAGCATTTTCAGCTGAGGTTAAACACAGTGAAGCTCTGCCTTGTATCAGCTCTCGAAACAAGTGTCCTCTTTGCAGTCTATTTAATGCTACATTCTTCAGTTTTCTGCTTTATTTTGGTAGTTTAACTGTTTAAAATTGCCCCTGAAGCACAGTGCTGAAGTGTTCTCTGGTGTTCCTAAATAAAAGAGAGCCCATAATATACATTATGGAGAAAATATGAATTACTAATAGCTAAATTTTGTCCCAGCATGAGTTATAGTGTTGTTGAACATAGAGTTCTATGTTAATGAATCAACAATATATACTAAATAAGGTGTCTTTAAACAGAAATACACACAACAGATTTATATATTGTTGGACTAATAAAAATACCGTGACCAGACATGCACAGAAGCCTCACTCTATATTTCCCCTAGGAGCAGTGGTTCAGTATTTGCTAATTCATTGTTCCTAGTGGTTTTATAAAATGTGTGTGTATGCTCAGTTATTCAGTCATGTCTGACTCTTTGCAACCCAACTGGAAAACATATAAGGCCACGAGTAGCAAGAACAAACTATATGTAATTGTATTGGTTTACAATAGTGGATTTCTTAATGTTGAACCATTTTTGGATTCTTGTAATAAACTGAATTTGGTAAAGGAGTGGATAATATTCTTTTAGTATAGTACTAAGCTAAATTTCAGTAATTTTGTTTTTGAATTTTCATTAATAGGTTTTTATAATTTTTACTTAGAAGATCCTACTTTGTTTTTAAGTTTGTATACATGTATGTATGTAAGTTGTAAGTTACCCAGGTAATACATTGATGTTTTCACACGGATTTTTCAAAGAGTACAAATAATATCTTCCTTTTTCTTCTCTACTGCCTATTCTTTGCCCCAGCCTTTTCTATTAATTCTTAATAGTTTGTTCAGTGTTTTTCCCCCCAAATCTTTCTTTTTAATGCATATATGCACACACATACATGCATACATGATTTTGTTTTGTATGTGTTTTAATTTGTCTTATTTTATGTAGATGATACCATATTTGTACATGGTTTCTGTACCTTTTTTTTTTTTTTTTCAATTAACAATGTTTCTTGGAAATACTTCCATGGTATCGGTTACAAATCTACATAAGGCAGTATTTCTCCAAAGTAGATTTCAAGAAGTTAAATTGCTGGGTTGAAGGGTTGTCGTACGCATACTAAAATTTTCCAGTACCAGATTACATTCCCGAAATGCTATACTCAGTTATACTCCCCCAAGTGTGTGACAGTACCACTTGCTTCACACTTGCCAGTAATGATTGTCAGTGCTTTTTATTTATGACAGGATTATTTGAAAAGGATACATAAAATTTTTGAATTTCAGAATCCTGGTTGCTGCTACTCCCTTCTTCCTTACATGGAAAAATTATAATG